ATGAAACGTCACTTATAGAGTCTACCTTCCTTGATCTGCGTTTCTAGTTCTCAAATGGCAACAGATTTTTCTACGCTTGTTGAACTCTCTACAAAGATAATTATTTCGCGACTATGTCTGGCATAAGTTTCCAACTCTAAGAGAATAAACCCTTTAATGATGTCATATCATCATCCATCTACCGTATGTTGCACTCCATGTACATGATGAAGTTGTGAGCCCTGTGTTAGAAGTGTTATATCACGTATGATTGGCTGCGTGCGCCCAGAATGCTGTGTATGTAATATTTTCTATATCAGTGAGTGATTTGAGTTTACGCCGCTTAGAGCAATATTCCGGTGCAGGCAAGTCACAGCGGGGACACCAGAAATGGACTACACCCATTGTACCCATGCGCTGAATCTGAACTCCGGTCCTACACCAGTAGAGCCACCCCCACGGCCCCCATCACATACATGCCGCTTCAGGCTGCATACCAAGCACAAAAAGAAACGTGACTTTGAATTTTCCCTTCGCAGAAACGGATAACCGCAAACTCATTTAATATGTTTCTGGATTGCATATTTTCTGACAACATCTTCAACCTTACCTGACAAAGCCATTCCCTAATTTCAGAGCGAACCTAGTTTTGCCCAAAACGCAACCCGATCCGAGATGGCACGGGTGTTCTCCATGACCAGCCCATAAAAATGCACCCCAAACTGGTTGAAACATTCGCATTACAACGTCAAAGAGATGCCGCGACTCACGACAGAACCAGGCGCGCCAGGACTTGAAGCTGGCCACACCGCACCGCCGTTGCCAATCACTTCCAGGTCAACGTTCGACCATCTACAGGCTGCAGCAATGTTTCCGCCACCAACACCACAAACGCCCCACCGGGTTAAGACCGCGGCGAGCACAAGTCGACAAGACCGCCATGTTGTGTGACAGCATGTACAGAACTCTTCTGCATGCATCCAAACAAGCACGCCAGGCAGTGGGAACACACGGAAGACCAATCAGTACTGAAACAGTACGCCGACGTCTTAACAGTGGGGAACCTCCATTGCCGTAGACCTTACCGTGGAACCATCCTCACCTCCTCGTCATGAACGTTCACGATTTGCCCTAATAAACACCAAAAACTGGCGATATGGTGCGTTTTGAGAACTGTTCTTGTTCAGAGTCGGTACCGCGTATCAACTGCAGAGATGGCAGAATAAGAATATGGACGACGTGGCCAGCGTTACTTCAGAGCAATGTGTTATGGAAAGAGACTCATGGGAGGTGCAAGCATCATGCAGGTGGATTGGCCTGAACTAAGGAGGGTTTTGTGGTGTTCTAGAACCTTGGTCCAGGGAGAGGAGGCGGTATCACAGCGGTGCGCTACATCGACCAAACTCTTGTGACCCTTACCGTCATACATTTCGCACGTCATCAGGTCACCAACATTTTCTCTTGTGCATGATAACATCCGGGCTCCATACTGGATAGAGCTACACGGGACTTCCTACAGCATAACGGTGTCAACATTTATGCAGTGGCCAGCCCTTAGTCCCCTGATTTAAACCTTCAATTGAACATCTTTGGGTGAATTAGAGGAGACTGAATAATACCGGCCGAACACAGCCGATTTATTGCGCTTTTCAGGCCTTTTGTCAGAGGTGGTTCCAGGTGTCAATGGTCTTCATCAATCGATTGCACTTATGAGGACGCTGTGTTGCAGTTATTGCTACAATTTCGTGGTGGTCACACTAGATACTGAAGTCAAGAGTCTGAATGACTGCAAACGATCATGTAATGTCTTGGATTTGTGCTGAGTTATTCATTGATGTGTCAGGATATTGTACACCAAAATAACAAGCTTTTGATCCGCTTATTATATCCATTTTGTAATGACTATCGTTTTATCTAATTTTGAATTGCACTGACGATTGTTTTGCTGCTGAGTATATTTCAATACCCCAGAATGCCTCTTCCTTTGCCTGAACATTGCTACACATGTTGGACATTGATCAACTATTTCCAATGATTTGCATCCCGATGTGACAGACCGAGCCATATTGTAGTAACTCGGTTGTGTTAGTTAACGCAAGAGAGTTCAGTGTGTGCACGTACTACTAATTCGAGATAATCACTGTCGTGACTGTTGTAGATTCAATAAGATGACAGGTTCATAACGTGCAATTTTAATGTTCAAATGGTTTCCATAACAAGATTTTCTCAACAATGACGATTACAATGCACCTCCTGTTGATCTTATACACAATAGAATAACTACCAAAGGCATATCGAATCAGCAGTCTCAATGAATATATCATTAATAATAATATTACCTATCCTCCTCCTCTCCTCCCACTACTACTACTACTACTACCACTGCACCCATTACTAGTACAACCACTACCACTACCACTATTCTTTCTACTCCCGCTGATACTGCTACCACTGCCACTACCACCATCACTACCACTACCACCACTACCACTACTCACTTCAACACCGCAACCCACATCAGCACAACTACCAACACCACCACCATTCCTTTCCCTACCCCGCCGATACCGCTACCACCATTACCACTACTACCACCACCACTACCACCAATACCGTTCCCACACCACCACCAATTACCACCTCATCACTACTCACTTCTACCACTGCACCCATTACCACTACAACCACTACCAATACTACCACTGCCATCAACACCACTACCACTATCACTACTCTCAAGTAACCACCAATGCCAAGGAATTACCACCACCGCCAACCACCACTACCACTGCTAATTTCTTCACTCAATTACCTTTTCTACCACCATTATCACTACTACCACCAATTTCACCAACACCACCACATCAACAGTGCTAAGCATACTTACTACTTCATTTTCCTACTGCCACATTACCACCTACACACTGCACATACAATTTAGGCACAACTATTCCACTGCTACTTCACTTACCTACTTCTTTACTACTACTGCTACTCACACTATAACTACATTGCTACCTTATTCTACTACTACTACTACTGTTACCACCAACTACATTACTACTTTTGCACAACCACCTCCACTGGTACTATCACTAATTTTAATTACTACTACTGTTACTTCACTGCTAGCACTCACCACTACTACCACTACCTCCACTACTCACTACCACTGCCACTGCTGCTACTTCTTACTTACCACCACCACCACTGACCACTTCACCATCACCACTTTACTTACTACAGCTTCACGAGAACTACATTCACATGACTGACACCCACACTGCTTCACCACTAACCCACCACCACTTCATCACCACCACCACTTACCACACTTTAGTCCACACACATCTTCCAGCATTTCACACAGCATCTACCACTCACTAAATCCACCTTGTTACACACATTATTTACTACCACTTCAGGACCACTTAAGCACCATAACTACTTACTATGCATACTTTACTTTATTTACACAGCATTTACCATAACTACAGCATGACTTTACTTACTATTTACATTCTTACTTAAATCTTATTTTAAATTCATTTCTAATTAAAACATGATTCATTCACACTTTTACTACTTCACATTACATACTACTTCATTTACTTTACACATTCATTTAACATTTATTATGACTTTCACACATTTTGACACACAAGACTAAGAACTATCACTTACTGTTTACTTTTATCTTATTTACTTGACACACATACTTACTACTACTCACTCAATTACTCATGACTGTTTCATTTTCACTTTTTCACTTATTACTATTTTTCTATTTTTCATTTCATCTCTCTTTTCTTAATTTCATAACTACTACTTTACTTCTTACTTTTAACTTATATATTTACATTACATTACATTTTTACTATCTAAGTATTTAAAAAAAAGCATTATTATTATATCTATTACTTTATATGATTCATTTCATTTCATTACTTACTTCACTTCATTACTTTTCAAGTATTATACTTCATTTTCATTACTACTACTGCATTTATACTACTACTATACTCTTTACATTTTACTAATACCACTTACTTACTACTTAAGCAGCATTATATTTACTTATACTACGACTGCTACTTTTCACCACTACTACTATCAGCATTATAATTTTACTAGCACATACTCATTACCACAGCACTTAAGCATTTATACTTCATTTACATAATTACTACTAATTAATTACTTACTTACTTACTACCATTTATATTTACTGTTACTACTACATTTTTTACTACTTACTACTAATTAGTACTGTTACATTGATAAGCATTTAATATAAGTAATAATCCATAATCCACTACTAAACCACATGACTTGATAACATTCTACCATTACTACTTACTACTTTACTTTACTTGTTATTTACTAAGCATTTACTTTATACTTAATTAATTCCATCACACTACCACTACTACTTAGTACTACTTAATTAATTTAACTTCTACACCATAACAATCCATTTACTTACTTACTTGCATTTAAATCTCTGACATACTACTTATTTTATTTTACTACTACTACTATAACTACTAAGCATTTTTTACTACTTATACTATTTAATGAACTATCACTACTCCAGCATTACATTACATGACATTACATTGAAAAGCATTTGAGGCATTTATTTTGAGACTTACTTAATTACTACTACTTACTATTTTTTTATTATTTACATTACAGCATTATACTAGCATTTACTTATTTTACATTTACATTATATTAGCAGCATGAAAGAAAGAATGATGAGATATGGATGACATTTATGATGAGAATGAGAGAATGAGGAGGAGGATGAGGAGGAGGAGAGGAGGAGGAGGAGGTGGGAGGAGACGAGCAGAGGAGGAGGAGAGTGGAGAGACTGAGGAGGAGGAGAGGAAGAAAGAGAAGAGGAGGAGGAGAGGAGGAGACGAGAGGTGAGGAGTGGAGAGCAAGAGGTGAGGATAGGAGAGGAGAGGAGAGGATGAGAGGAGAGGAAGAGGTGAGGAAGAGGAGCGGAGGAGGAGATGAGAGGAGAGGAGCGAGGAGGAGAGAGAAGAGAGGAGGAGGCGGAGGAGGTGGAATATAGGAGCGGAGCGGAGAGGAGCCGAGGAGATGGAGAGGACGAGGAGGAGGAGGAGGAGGAGGTGAGACGAGACAGAGGAGGAGGAGGAGGAGAAGGAGGAGAGGAGAGGAGAGGAGGAGGAGGAGAGGAGGAAGATGAAAGGAGGAGGAGGAAAGGAGAGGAGAGACAGAGAGAGGAGGAGGAGAGGAGGAGGAGGAGACAGAGAGGAGGAGAGGAGGAGGACAGAGGAGGAATGAGGAGGAATGGAGAGAGGATGGAGACAGAGAGGAGGAGGAGAGGACGAGGAGGAGAGGAGGAGGAGGAGGAGAGGAGGAATGAGGAGGAGAGGAGGAGAGAGGAGGAGAGGACAGATGATGAGGAGGAGGAAAGGAGAGGAGACAGGAGTGGAGAGGAGAGAGGAGGAGAGGAGGAAATGAGATGATATATATAGAAGGAAAGAGGAAAGAGGAGGAGGAGAGGAGGAGAGGACAGAGAGGAAGGAGAATGAGGAGGAAGGAGGATATAGATGGAAGAATGGAGGAGGACAGAGATAGAAATGGAGGAATGACAGAGGAATATAGAATGAGAGATGGAGATGGAGGAGGAGGAGGATGGAGGAGGACATATATAGGAGGAGATGAGATAGATGAGATGGAGATGAGGAGGAGGGAGGAGATGGAGAGGAGAGGATGGAGGTGGAAGGAGAGGAGGAGAGAGGAGAGAGAGAGGAGGAGGAGGAGAGAGGAGGAATGAGGAGGAGAGGAGATGGATAGAGGAGGAGGAGGAGGATGGAGGAGGAGAGGAGGAGAGGAGGAGATGGAGGAGAGAGGAGGAGGAGAGGAGAGAGATGGAGGAGAGGAGAGATGGAGGAGAGAGGAGAGGGAGAGGAGAGAGGAGGAGAGGAGGAGGAGATGAGAGTGAGAGGAGGAGAGAAGCGATAAGAGGAGGAGTGGAGAGGAGGAGGAGGATACCACCATCCACTTCTACAAGCACACCACTGCTACTAATGTTTCTACTGCTGTCTCTGTCACAGTAACTACTTACATTTCTTAACACACTTTACTACTAATTACTTACTGTTACTTATACTACTACTTGTATTTACTGAGACTACTTCACTACTATATTTCCATTTTACTACTTTACTTACTTCTCTCACTTCTTACTTACTTCTTAATTACTACTACTTTAGAACTACCATGATCGATACTAATACTTAATTATTGGTTCTACTTATTTCCACCAATTACTCAAGTTACTCACCATTATTACTTAAAATTATCACCTAATTGGTAATTTTACCATTTCCTTAACTTCAATATTAACTACTTACTAGTTCTGCTAATTTATAATTGTAGTACTTAAAATTTCTACTCAAAAATTTTAATATCATTTCTACTACTTACTACTACACATACTACTACTACTACTACCACTCAATTAGCCTACTACCTATACTCAAATACTGTTCTGACTACTACTTCTACTTTTACTAATGGTTATAATGACTACTACCACTACCACTGTGAATCCCTTACTAGTACAATCCATTAATTTCACTACTACTACTGCTAATACCACTACTACATTTAGAACAAAACCACCACATATGCATTGACATACTTCACTAATGCCACCTCAATTACTACTTTACTGCTATTTTTTCTCACTTCACAACTATTACACTTTCTACTATTTCATTCTTTTTCTATCACTACTTACTACTACTACTACTACTACTACTTACTACTTTTAATTATACCTCACTCACTAATTGCTACCATACCACTACTACTACTACTGCTACTATACTCACTACTACTACATCAACTACATCTACTCACTTCAATAATACATCTATCACCACTCATTTCTTTCTAATCACTACTACATGATGTTACTACTATACTACTACCACACCAATTGTTCTCACCACTCTCACTACTGCTACCATAATTACTCTCCATAAATTACTACCACATACCAAATTACCACTCACTACTACTGTATACTATACCAACCCCTACCACTACTCACTAATTAATTGCCACTTAATTACTCACTTCACAAACCACACATCACTCACTACTCCCCACTGCTAATATACCATCACCACTCTCTCAATCATCACTGCCACCATACCTCACTGCCACCTACCGTTTCCATTACCTAACTACCATTACCACTACTCACTCACTCACTCTCACTCACTACTCTTAATTAATACCACTGTTTCACCATCATCACACTGCACTTCTACTCACCAACATACTGTCCCCAATTGCTACTAATACAGCCACTATACCTACTCATTTCATCACACTACTCACTACTACTCTGCCACTACTACTACTATACTCACCAATTAATTCTACTCTCATTACTACTCACCACCACCACTCACTCACCATTACTCAATTATACCAATACCACCACTGCCAATTCTACTCACACTACTACTACTACTCACTACTTAATTTCATCACTGCTCTCTATACTCACCACAACTCTCTACTCACTCACTACTCACTACTTCTACTATACTCACTGCCACTGTTAATTATACTAATTACATTTAATAATTAGTAATTCCACACCACCTACCTACTTTCACTATACTGCCACTTCACACCTAATCCCACACCACTACTTCACTGCTGCACCACTACCTATACCACTCACTCACTACCACCATCCTCTGCTACTTCATACTCACTACTTCACTTCTACTTCACACCACCACCACTTCTACTCTCACTTCACTGCTACTTTATAATTACTCCTAATTACTTCAACACTACTGCCACTACTCACCTAACTACATTTAATTACTTCACTGTCAAAAAGCACATTACTGTTGACCTAATCAAGCACAATTACTCACCACTTCACTCCTAATTTAATTACTTCTACTTCACTACTGCTACTTCACAACACAAAGCATTAAACAGTAATTAAGCATTACTTCACACTACTTCAGCATTACTTCACACAAACCACTCACTTACTACTTTTTCACTTACTACTACTTCACTCCCATTTACTTCATTTACTCAAGCATACTACTACTACTACTACCACCACCACTTCTAATTGCACTATACTCTACCACTACTTCTTCTACTACTATTTCAAGTACTTCATACTGCCATTTACTTAATTACTGTCACCACCATTCTATCAAGCACTACCACTCCATTGTACTACTGCTACTTACTGTTGCTTTACTTAACCACTTACTACTTACTACTACCACTTCTTACTGCTATTATAAGCAATTAATTACTGAAAGCATTTCTACTTGATGCTACTACTGTTGCTTTTATTATAACTATTTTACATTTTACTACTACTTACTACTTACTACTACTGTTACTTATACTACTTCACACTACTTACTTCATACTCATTTACTACTACTTACTACTATACTACTACTTACTACTACTACTACTTCTTACTACTTCTTTACTTCTAGGACCACATGACTGATACTCATTTACTTACTTTAATAATTTTACTTTATGCCTCACTCACCACTGCTACTCACTTTATTATTTTAAAAAATTATCACTCCTCCACTGAGAAATTATCGTGACTCTTACTACTACAACTATTACTGTTATTATAACTACTTACTAGGCTCTCACACTTGTACTGGTGGTACTAAATTTCTACTGTAATCTACACATTGCTTCTACTATTACTTACTACTACTACTTCTTTACTACTTCACTACCACCACTACCATCAACACTGTCTGACTACTACTTTCATTTTATTACTGCTATGACGAGGATCACTGCACCACTCAACACTGCACTCTACTAGTACAATCCACAACACTACTACTCACTGCTACTACCACTACTTTATTACTACTTCTAGAACAACCACTGCTGCTATCTGCTACTACTCACTGCCACACCACTACTACTACACTTTTTTTCTTACTCACAACCATTAATACACTTTCTACTCATTACTACTCTTTCTAATTACCACTCACTAATTAATTACTACCACCACTACTACTGCCACTACTACTGCCACTGCTACACTGCTACTACTCACTGTCACTCACCACTACTACTATTACTACCACCATACCATCAATTACTACCCCACTACTCACTGCTACTATACTACTGCCACTACTCACCTCACTACTACCACTACTCTAATCACATTATACTCACCACCATTACCACTCTAGAACAACCATCAAGTCAGTTACTGCCACCGCCACCAATTACTACTACTGCTACTTTTATACTCACTACTACTACTACTAATTACTACTACTACTACTACTACTACTCACTACTCAACACTACCATCACACTGCTCCTCACTACTACTTCTACTTTACTACTGCCATACTACTCACCACTCCCCACACCTATTAATAGTAAATAACTACTCACCACCACTACTACTGCTACCACCAATTAATACCATTTACATTATTTCTAAGACCATTACAGGTGAATACATTTAAACACTACTACTAAGCACACCACAACTACTACTAAGCATTTTTCTACCTCAATTAATATTACTACTCACACCAAACCTCAACACTGTTACTAATTAATTTCACAATAACTACTACTACACATGATTAACTACTTAATACTCCTATATATTTGTTACTACTAATTACTACTTTCAAGCAGCTACTTCAAGACTCAAGCAAACCATCACCACTGCTTTTTAATTTCTTTAATTTCATTTCTAATTTTTCACTTACTTTTACTACTACTTCACTGCTACTACTACTTCATTAACTACTACTTCTATTTCACATTACTACTACTTTTCACTTACTACTACTACTACAACTACTTTTCACTACTACTACTTACTTAATTACTCACTATCAAGCATAATTACATTACTACTTCACTATTTCATTTCATTACTACTACTTTCACTACTACTTCATTTACCATTTTTACTTACTACTTCTATTACTTTACTTTCATAACTATTTACTATTTCATTTACTTTACTTTTATTTCATTTGTACTACTTCTACTTACATATTACTACATTATACTTAATTACTTCATTTCATAATTACTATTTACTATTATTACTTACTACATTACTACTTACTTTACTTTAATTTTTTACCATTTTATGTATTTACTTACTAATTTCTACTTTACTAATACTTACATTTATTTCAATTACCATTACTTTATTTTACCATTACTACTTTACTATAATTAATTTATTTAGCATTTTATTTATTTTTATTTTTACTATTTACCATTTATTATTTATTAGGCATTATTTACTTTGATTAAGCATTTATTTCACTTACTTTACCATTCTTTTATTACTTCATTTACTACTATTTATTTATATATATATATATATATTTTTATTTTTTACATATTTATTTACTATTACGAATTCATTATTATATGAATTATGCATGATTGATATTTACATATGATAGAGTTTGATAGCATATTTTATTAAGAGAAAGAATTTTACAGCACAGCATAATGTCTGACAGTATTTGCATGCATTTACGGGAGATCACCCGAATTATGATTGATATTATTATTATATTATTATATGAGCATTTAATTAATTACTATATTATTGGTATTTATTTATTGGTGGCTTTATATGAATCTTTATTTACTACAACAACTACTACTACTAGTACTAAACTTACTAGTACTACTATTTTTATACTACTACAACTACTACTACTACTTTTATACTACTACTACAACTACTACTACTACTAATTAAACTCTCTACTAGTACTACTTCTCTCACTACTACACCACTACTACGTCTACTACTGTCTTTACTACTACTACTACCACTACCAAAACTACCACCACCAAGCACTGCTACTACCTCTACTACTACTACTACTTCATTACTATGACTCACTACCACCAACTCTACTACTACTACTACTACTGTGACTATTTCTGCTAATACTACCATCACTACTACTACTACTACTACGACTATTTTATGCTACTACTACTACTATTACCTCTACTAAGACCATACCATCACCACTTCTACTACCTTTTACTACTACTTTTACTACTTCATTTACTACCATATTGCTACTACTACTACTACTCAATTATCACTACATTAAGTATTTTTTAATTATTACTACTTACATTAGTATTTACATACTAATAAATTGAGACAATACTTCAGCATTATTTATAATTCATTTATATTTTTTTATATGATGATGAAAACCCCACCCACCCCATTGTTGCTACTACTGCTAAGTTTCTATTACTATAACTACTACTACAGATACTACTGCTAGAAATACTACGACTGATACTTAATACTACTTCACATGGCATCTACTTATACCACCACACACCACTGCCACTACCATTACTACTAGTATCACTTCACCTTAATTGTTCTACTACTTCAACTATTACTAATTATTATAACTACTTCTAGCTCTACCACTGGTACTGTTAGTGCTAAGATCTCTCACCAGTACTACTACTACTACTTGCTACTACTGCCATTTCTTTATACTACACACTACTGAACTACTACTGCTGCTACCACTACAACCACTCCTACCAACTCACCACAACGATCTCCCCTACTACTCACTACTTCACCAATCTAGTGCTACTACTAATTACTCACTGCTACTTTCATACTCACTACTATCACAAGATACTACTACTCACTGCTACTATACTACTACTACTTGCCATACCAATACTACTATATTACTACTCACTACTGCTACTATACTACTACTATACTACTACTACTGCTACCACACCACTACTCACTCTCACTATACCCCACTACCACTACTGCTAATACTTAGTTTATAATTCATTACTCTGCCAATATACTCACTACTACTGCTTCCTAATATCACACCACCACTATTCCCACCACCACAGCTAACACATACTACTACTCACTACCATCACAATTACACTCACTACTAATACAATTATACCACTACTCACTGCTACTATACCACTACTATAATTTGCTCACTACTGCTACCATACCACTACTACTACTATACTACTCACTAATGCTACTATACTATTACTCACTGCTACTACTACTACTACTACACTACTACTACTACTATACTCACTACTTCATCAGTAAACTACTACTACTACTCACTGCCACTATACTACTACTACTGCTACTATATTACTACTAATGCCACTACACTACTACTATACTCACTACTAATAAGCAATTATACTCACTACTATAATTACTACTGCTACTATACTACTACTACTATACTACTACTACTGCTACTACTAATACTACTACTAGGCTCACTACTTCATACTTTTACTAATATTACTGCTAATATACTACTACTATCACTGTTCTCAGTTACCACTGCTAATATACTACTCACTACCGTTTCTTCTACTACTACACCACCATACTCACCACCACTGCCACTATACTCACTACTACACTATACTACTACCACTGCTACTATACCACTACTACTCTACCACCACTACCAATACTATAATACTACTATCGCTTCTATAATACCAATTACTGCTACCATAATACTTCTAATACTATAGCACGACTACTGCTAGTATACTACTAGCACTACTACTCAATACTATACTCACTACTACTGCTACCATACCATTACCACTGCTACTACCACTACTCTACTACCATACTAACTAGCTACTACTACTATCACACACACATCACAATTACTACTATATATTACTCACTACTAGTAAACCACATCACTACCACTACCATAATTACTACTACTGCCACTTTACTACTACTACTACTTCCTACTCATACCACTGCTACTATACTCTACCACTTCCACCATACCGCTACTCACTACCATACCACCATACTACTACTACTACTCACTATACTACTACTATACCTACTTCACTACTACCATACTATACCTACTACTACTGCTGCTCTTACTCACTACTACTTAGCAGTAGTAACGCTATATATTAACACCTAGTATGCTATATTACTAAAGTTCATATTACAACTACTACCACCACCACTGCCAATAGTCCCATCAATTTTCATACTAGCTTAACCATTGCCACCTAGTACACTCCACACAACTCCTGTTAATACTGCCACGGCTAATGGTACTAGTAGCCTTACTACTGCTTCTACTACTACTATTACTACTGCTGCTGCTGCTACAACTACTACTACCACTACTGCTACTAGTCCTATCACTTTCTCATACCACAGCTTCTAACTATTGCCACTAGTACATCTCCACACAACTCCTGTAAATACTGCCACACGGCTACTGGGTACTAGTAGCTTCTACTACTGCTTCTACTACTACTATTGGGCTACTGCTGCTGCTACAACTAATACTACCACTACCATTAGTAATTGTTCAGATGCTTTTAAACTATAACTTCTAATTCCACTATGAACACTCATGACTACTAACACTAACACTAACACTTTTTACACTTACACTAACACTTTACACTAACACTTACACTCAACACTCAACATTTACACTAACACTAACACTCCTCAGTACCAACACTTAACACTCAACACTAACACTTACACTAACACTAACACTAACACTTACACTAACACTAACATACTCAACACCAACACTAACACCAACACTCAACACTTACACTAACACTACCACTCAATACTATATGCCTGTTTGGCTCAAAGCAGACCCATGAACTGCCAGGTGTACGCGAAGCACGTGCACAAGTGCCGACAAAGTTACTGATTCATTTTAGTTCGTGCTGTCTCCATCCGTTCTCACACACTCCTGGCTGTCCTTTTGCACTCTCTCGTAACAAATATTGAGCTGTAAAATATTTTAATGATAGTTTTGTGAAACAACTGTTTTATTTTAGGACATACCTCTGCTAAAAAAAATCACAGGAGTTGGTCTGATGCTTGGATTTGCGTCAGCGTTTCGTTTAGTATTATATGTTTGGTAGTAGTTTTTGAGTTAGGATTGCAATTCATCACATCGGTCCACTTTTTAGCCAAACGGATCCATAATACTACTGCAACTACTACTAGTCCTACTACTATTCCTACTACGATAAATATCGTTACAGCCACCATTACCACTATTACTACTATTATTACTACTTCTACAACAACTACCACTTCTACTGCTACTTCAACTACCACTTCTACCGTGACATCAGTGCAACACTATAACACTATATGCCGAGGGACATCATTAGTGTCACTGGATTTGAACTACTTCCAAGCTTACAGCTACTATAACATCTATCAATCACCATCATTACCAATTTCTGTTTCTTTCTGGTAACGTTAACCATTGCTATGCACATATTTGAAACTGGTGACCGATCGAACATGGCCAGACAAGTGGGGCAGGGGCCTTGCTTCCAAAGTTTCTCCTGCGACTGGTTTCCCCTAGGCTTCCTGTGTGACAGAGGAAGGTGGCGCCATGACATGCGTATATAGGGTTCGTCGGGAAACGCATCTACTCCTCAAAACTATACACTGGATTAAAATATATTGTGCATGTTATCATGGTAAAAGTTATATCTCGCTCCACTAGCCATATCGTACAATTGATAAGAGCAGGCAATCTGTTCATGCCGAACCCAATGGTGCTCTATCTGATTGTCCTGACTGTAACCTCCTTTCTATACAGGACCACCTGTTATGCCTCCGAGTTCCCAACGGGGGTTCAGTCACACGAGCAGAGCTGGGTAACCACCGCTATCCAGCATGAAACGACTTAAGTATATATAGTTTTTTAAATGTAGAAGATGTCTCACATATGTCAGGTAAATGTTCACACCCAGACTCATCCAGCGAAATATATCCCGGTAACCTTTCATCGTTATTTTACAAGGCTCAATGTTCGTCATGGAAATGTCCGTACGGTGGTCTGAAATCCGGAGATCTATTGTTCCTCTCTTTAGAACGAACGGGGAGTCTCCCATCTCTCCCCTGGTGGCAGTTCCTTCTATGTGGTGGGGCACCATCCTCTTTTGAGGTCGAAAGCTCACATCAATAAAGCCGCCATGGGTTTTAAGAATTTCCAACTCTTCTTCGGATGAAAGGCCACAGCAAACCAGCGTTCGCCAAGGCCGGGATGACAACCCATTCACATGTGGAGATCATGGAGTTTTTCTGTCCCTTTATAATGACTTACATAAGTCATTCAGTGTAGATCAGGGGCCATTGGAACAAGCAAGGATGGCTTAATCTGGAACACAAGGATGGCGTAATCTGGAAACACAAGGATGGCGTAATCTGAACACACAGGGTGGAACATAGGAGTCACAATGATGACTTCAGTCAGCTGGCAATCAGTAAGCGAACCTTCCAGACGGTAATATATATTTATTTACAAACACATAAGGTATTGTTTTGGATTGTGCATTGATGTAATTTCCTCCTCAACTGGCAGTGGACACTTTTAGAGGACTCCTGTTCTAAACTAATAATATTTTAATGAACAGACCCAGCTTCAGATGTTTTTGTCTGAACATTATATCAGGACTTAGTACCTACTACTACCACCGCCACCACCTCCACTCATTATACTCCCCTAAGTATTTCCTGCTGCACCCAGTCCTCCTCCTGCTGCTACTACTACTACTACTACTACTACTACTGCTACTACTACTACTACTACTACTACTACTACTACTACTACTACTACCTGCTGCTGCAACACGTGCAGCAATTGTATGGAACTTCCAAACGTTCTAGGTCTACAGATACAAAACCAATCTGTAGGATGTACGCAAATCTATATGTTCATTAATAGTTAAATCCATGCGGGAATACGCAAAAGTAAAAGTCGGAAGTAAGGTTAATTTAGTATGAACACTGTTCGATTTATATATCAAAACATCCATTTTCGCATCTCTGCTGCCGATTAATGACAGATACATATTCATCCATCTCTTTCATCATTATGTGCAGTGTTGTTTGTAACCGAAGTGCTGATAAACAGAATCAAGACATCAGTTCAATTATGTGAAGAATAACCCTGGGTTAGGTGGACCTACTATTCCTTGTTTCACACTAAATGTAAACATGCATATGCATCTACCTGCGTGCGGCACGGCGGCTGCTGATCGGAACTGACCAGGAACTGAATATTTATACATACATGGCTTTTATTTCATGGGCCTTTGCGTCAAGGATAAGTACGCAAACAATGCATAATATAATGGGGTTCCAGATTAAATGATCTTATTGCTTGTAATTTGATCTGGTTCATGAGCCTTTCTTCAGTATAAGTGGTATTATTAATAGGGGCTAACCGATAATTGGCCATGGTAACGTGGATTGCAGCTCACGACGCCATCTTTAACAACATAATGAGGGGTTTTTTCGTCTCCTGGGTAATGGAAGATCAGCTATCGGCAGAGCAAAACGGTGAGTACTCACCTTCCTGCATCTTGTCTTCATTTGCGGAGTTTGGTCTAATTATCGGGTAACAACCAAAAAATATCTACCTTCAAAATTTGTATTGTATGTAAAATTTTCATAGTTTCGCGCAGTAAATGAACCACTAGCTGTTTGGCAGCTTTTCATTATAACGGGGGCGGTGGGGTAGTCTAGTGGTTAAAGCGTTGACTCGTCACGCCAAAGACCCGGGTTTGAATCCCCACATGGGGTACAATGGGTAGAAGCCCTTTCTGGTGTCCCCCGCCGTGATATTGCTGGAATATTGCTAAATGCGGCGTAAAACCAAACTCAGTCAGTCAGTCAGTCATTATAACGGGAGATTGAGAACTAGAATTGATTTTCAGTAACCCATGCTTGACATAAGAGGCGACTAACAGGATCGGGGTGGTCAGGCTCACTGGACTTGGTTGGCAACACTTGTCATTGTATCCCAGTTGGTAGATCGACGTCATGCTGTTGATCACTGGATTGTCTAGTCCAGACTCGGATATTTTGCAGACCGCAATCATATCTGGATTATTGCTGAGAGCAGCGTAAAACAACAAACATACAATACTCGCGCATCATTGTAACGGGAGGGGATTGGTTAGCGTCACGTCAATCTGGATTGGCCTTTCCCACAAATTGACAGTTCCATATAATTTATTGTTACAATGTTCTGGTAAGTAAAGTGCTATCTATGATAATAAGGTTGACTTATACAGCGCCGGAGCTCCACGACGCATACACCATGATGGACATTATTACCTGGATAACCCAAACTGCCACTTAGGCGCGAAAAGGTAAATAATATTGCTATTAGCACTGGTACTCATTTTCTGCTGGGTGAACGAGGCAATTTTGTACAAACGCACTTGCTTTAAGGCGAGACCATGTGACAACCATTGAGGGGCACAACAGGAACCTTAGAAACTGTCAGGAATCAAGCTGCCAAACACTTTCACCTTCCTTCCTTGAATCTCCGTGACCAATGTTGTTTTACTTCACCTAATTTGCAGACCTGCGCGCGCGCGTTTGTGTGTATATATGTGTGTGCTAAAACAGACTTGTGTCATATTTAGACTTGTAATAGATTTAGATTAGGGAAGATCAAGAATCGCTTCAAGGAGACGATTCTAGATTCATCTGAGAATAGTGTACAATTTTCGAGTATCTCATGCTTTGCTTATGATATGGAGTGGAGATGCCTATTGCATCTCATTTCACATTGCACCTCAAGCCGACCGCCTCCGTGGTGTAGTGGGAGAGCGTCCGCCCGGAGAGCGGAAGGTCGCTGGTTTCATCCCCGGCCGCGTCATACCAAAAGACGTTAAAATATGGTAATCTTGTTGGTCCCTGCCTGGCCTCCTCGGCATTGATGGGTACATCAAGGCTCGGAGTCAGTATAATGTGTCGGAGTGTGGTATTCATGCTTCACTGCGGCGTGGTATCTCAGTGGGCTAGTGCTATAAACCAGCTAGTACAAGCAGCCACACATTGCCACATACGCATGCACGTCGTCATACGAGCGAAATAATCTCAAGTACGATGTTAACCCCACTTCATCTCCCTCACCTACAGGTCAAGTTATCACAAGAAGTTCGTGTGAGTGAGTTTAGTTTTACGCCGCACTCCAGCAATATTCCAGCTATATGGCGGCGGTCTGTAAATAATCGAGTCTGGACCAGGATCAATCCAGTGCGATCAACAGCATGAGCACCGATCTACGCAATTGGGACTGACTGACTGACTGACTGAGTTTGGTTTTACGCCGCTTTTAGCAATATTCCAGCAAACATCACGGCGGGGACACCAGAAATGGGCTTCGCACATTGTACCCATGTGGGATCTGAACCCGGGTCTTCGGCGTGACGAGCCAAACGCTTTAAACCATTAGGCTACCCCACCGCCCCACACGCACTTGGGAACCGATGACATGTGTCAACCAAGTCAGCGAGCCTGACCACCCGATCCCGTTAGTCGCCTCTTACGACAAGCATAGGGCGCCTTTTGTGGCAAGTTCGGCTTGGTGAAGACCTATTTTATCCCGGATCTTCACGGGTCACAAAGCCACAAGAAGACCATGTGTTTCACTGTGTTTCATGATCATTATACCCCGGATACTCTGTGTAGGTGAAAGCTGGATAGATGTTGCTGAGTGGTCGCTTTTACCATCACTGGCGTTATTGTCGTCACAACCCTGGATCCGCCGTGATGTTGCTGGAATATTGCCAAAAGCGGCGTAAAACCATACTCACCTCACATTGCCTTTGAATTTGTACTGTCGCGCTCAGCAGTATTCCAGATATATGGCAGCGGTCGGTAAATGATCGTGTCAATAACCATCAAATGGCCAATTGCCTTCAAAATGAACTAAGTAATGTTAATAACAAATTGCTTGCTTTTGAATTTGTTGCTATGACATTTTCTGCTTTTAAATAATAATGTAATGAATATGTATGTTTTAAAATAAAACTATTTGGACCTTGGACTTAAAATGTTTATGAATGCAGACTTGATCTCGTCAACTATATGGCTGGAATAATGCCGATGTGGGCAAAAGCCCAACTCAACTCCGACTCCCAACCTGAATTTTGCAATTAAGGAGACAAGTGTGGCCGCCTCAGCTGTTTCATATTTAGAACATTGCATTAAGATTCGGAGTGACAAAAACTTCCACGAGGCTGTATGACGACAGGGATGATTTCAACTTTCCAATATACTTTGTGTTATGTGGAACAATTTCCATCAGCTCCAGCTTTGCTTAGGCACACTTTTGAGAGGTACAATCAAGCGTGTTTTATCAGGATTTCAAAGAGCGTCGTACCACTCTTGCTCAGAAGTCGTTGATCAAGGTTATAGTAATGTAAAGCCTTCAAGAAGTTGTTTTGTTAGACTTGTGGAGGAAATTTCCAAACTTGGTGCATCGGTGACAAAAAATGATGTCCGATGCCACTCCCTATTTTACTTATACCATACCTTCCCGAACTATTTCACGTGAACAAATGACTAGACTTAGTATATAGAGAATCTCACCCGAGTGTCTTTTGATATCAAATACATCACCACGAGTTGATAAAGTAACGAATATCCGAGGCTTGCCGAGGATATTTTTACTTTTATCAACGAGTGTTGATATATTTAATATCAGAAGACACGAGGGTGAGATTCTATTTATCATAAAAAATCACTCTTCATTAGTTTTCAATGAAAAATGTACATCTCTGAACACAGTACTGCCATTAGATGTCATAACATTGTGACGTCAACAAGTTCATGAGGTCATAGCATTGTCAGGGCATTGTACAAAATCTACTGTCAAAACGATATCTCCTAGGAGATATCGGTCTGATCGCACACAAGCGATATCTACTGTGGAACACAGTTTTGGATGATAAATATTTATGACGGGTGCCAGCAGTGGGACAGGACACGCTCTTTTTCGCGAGCACCTAGTATCATCACTGTTTCATAGCGATCCATAAACACATGCTCTGTCATCGAATCGCATGGTGGTAATTACTTGATTGTCTGATCCAGGCTCGATTTGTTTACAAACAATATCGAACAGCTGTAATACTGCTGACACAAATAAGAGATGGGAAACAAAGTATCGCAGTTTTATCACAGGACCTATATTTAATCACAGTTTATATGTCATGTGCGTCTTCACAGAATTTTATTTTGTAGCCAAAGTGCTAAAACGACTGTTCATTAACACAAAAGCCAACAATAAAGAATATGAATGGTATAATTTGATTAAACATGGAGTCTTGTAATAAAACTGAAATTAAAATAACATAATGTGTCAATAAAAGTATGGTCATCCCATACGGGTAACACGATGCATAATCCTAACACCCAATCCCCGCTATATCGCTGAAATATTGCTGAGTGCGGCGTAAAACTAAACTCGCTCACTCAATCCAGAATTAACGTCTCTAGTTTCAGAAACAGAAGACAGAGACAGTATATTGTGCAACCACCGCCCACCTGAATGACATTTTGAACACTCGTCCTCATTGAGTGCACAAGACGATGAATCTGATTTTAGGTCAACCTGCTCCAATGTTTGCTATATTTGTTTGTTTGTTGTTTAAGGCCGCACTCAGCAATATTCCAGCTATATGGCGGTGCTATAATTCATCAATATTCTGGACTGGCGGATCTCTCCGACGAACCATACACCCCAGAATGTCCCAAACATGCTCGATAGGGCTCAAATCAGGGCTTCTGGCTGGCCATGGAAGGGTGGTAATGGCTTCTGGCTGGCCATGGAAGGGTGGTAATTGCTTCTGTCGGGCCATGGAAGGGTGGTAATGGCTTCTGTCTGGCCATGGAAGGGTGGTAATGGCTTCTGTCGGGCCATGGAAGGTTGGTAATGGCTTCTGGCTGGCCATGGAAGGGTGGTAATGGCTTCTTGATGCAGGAAATCAATGACTGCGCGTGCGCGATGTGGCCTGGCTTTGTCATCCATAAATTAAGATCGGCCTTGTTAATAGGGGGTGATTATCAAAATGGTACACATACCTGCCTCTTTCCTCTTGGTATCTTTGTCCATTCAGATTTCCTCACTTTACAAGCTGAAGTTTGCAGCCATATGACACACAGCCCCAATAGTCATTGATCCTCCGCCGGATGGAACTTCTTCCAGGACGTTCCTTTGAGCATATGCCATGTTCCCCTGTCGCCATACACGCGTCCTTCCGTCAGTAACAAACAGCAAAAACCGACTCTCGTCTGGAAGATGGACTTTCTTTCAAGAAGCCAGGTTCCACCGATGCTGGTCACGGCACCACCGTAATCTTGTACCCGTGTGGGTACGCGTTAACAAAGGTCGTCGGACAGATCTCCTGATCTTATAGCCTTCTGTTTTCAGTCGATTTCTAACAGACTTATGACAGAGTTGCTGATGTGGAATCCATTACCGTTGTATCATTGGACTTGGTGCAAAGGGAAATCGCCGAACAAGTCTAAGTAGGGCTGCGTCTTGTTTAGCTGATGTCTTGCATGGTCTGCCTGAACGATGCAGATCCTTTACATCGTTTGTTTGGTGACATTTCCTCACTAATCGACTGATTGCTGAGGGGTGGCGACCTAATTATCCGGCAATTTGTCTCCTGGACAACCCGGCATTAACCATACCTATAACTTGCCATCTTTGGGCTGACTGAAGTGGAGGGGGTCCCATAGAGTGGTTTAAGACAATATGTATGCATTGTAGTTCAGGTTTCTAACAAGAGTGAATGATAATTGAAACAGTATTTTCATGACACGACAGGTGCAAGTGTCTCATACGCTCCACATTTGTTACGTGCAGCACGTGTACTTTGATATGTTGTGTAGACACGTAATAGGTTATTGTTCCCATTTATTTTCAGAATGTTGTTATGGGGCAATTTTTAAGATACTGAGAGAAAAAAAGTATAAGGTGTTGCAATACTTTTCCCACGTGTATAATATATACGCATGATATAGTCATAATTGTACAAAATGGTTTTAGCACTTTCTAAAAGCTGACAATGTATACCTGGATGCCAATTTACAAGTCCCTCTGGTTAGAAATATTTATTGCCATTAGACACAACAAAAGTGTAACACTATTCGGTGGCCAGATGCTATCAAGACAGGCGGGCTTGATTTCCACTCGAAATATATGTTAACAAGTTACCAGAGATCCACAGAAGTTTGTACACTAATTCTGGAGTAGATCACAAGTTGTTGACAGCCTAAATGAAATCACCAATGCAATATGCCGTAGAGTTCAGGAAGAGTCAAGAAGCTACACACCAACTAGTTTACCAAATTCTTATAAGATTCTTTGCTAAAGGTTGAAAGGTGCCAACAGTATTTTCACAGGCAATAAGCAAGCATGAACATTCTTTTTGCATTACACTGAAATGATGTCAATAGGTCAGGCTAGTCTGCCCCATCGTAACCATGATTCACACCAGTTGTCGATGCCTAGTACCATCTCCTACAGAGCAACTAATTCAGTTAGCACCATTTCATTGTTGTTTACAGTTGTTTTAGTTGGCTAATATCACTGGTGGAATCATAACATTTAACATATTCGACAGAAAACCTTTTTTAGATTCTACTCAAAATTATACAACAATGCAGCTAAGTTCACTAACATGGCCGAGTCTCCCAATGCTTCTGTGGCATGCCACATGATTAGTCACTTTAATATGCATGTTGTGATCTAAACATACATTGGAAATATAAGTGGGACATTAATATTGCCACTTGTGGTTTCCGATAATCACATATTTAATTTATACAAGAAGACATGGTCATCAATATCCCCCCACCACAGTGTTCTGTTCCTATTTTGACAACTATTCATTCTTTCTACAAATAGAGATACATAAGCTCTTAAATGAGAAAATCTGTTCCCATTGGGGATAACCTGCACTGAGTCAAGAAACACATAACAAGGGCCATAACTCTGTAACAAATTGTAACACGGTTTCCAGTTTTTAAATCCATCAAGGCATTTATGTCATGAAAACAAATATCAAATTATCAAATTTGGTTTCCCTATCTGTTACGGTTTCTGAAAAAAGTCGGTCCCCAATAAGTTTTATGGGTCCTTGCTGGTAACATGAGGGTCCTGTAAAGTATTGAAGTGGTGTAGTGTACTGTACGTTCAGATAATTACTTCATTGCTTGGAATGAATCAGTCGGTGGTCATGTGGACAGTGGCCATGACAACTACTCTTAATGCACTGTAGGTAGTCTCTAGGTAGTTTTGTGCATCTCTCTATTTCAGGTTTTCTGTGTCCACTCTCTACATTTGTGCATACTGGACCCACATTTGTGCGTAGGTAAACCTGAACTAAGTACAGTTACAGAAAAGGAGCAGAGTAAACTGTTTTTCTTAAACAACTTATGTTCCTGTGTGAGGTGAGGTGAGGTGAAATTGGGTTTAACGTCGTGCTTGAGAATATTTCGCTCATATGACGACGTGCATGAGTGTGTATGTGTATGTGCGGCTGCTTGTACTAGCCCAGACTTAAGCTGGTTTTATAGTGCTAGCTCACTGAGATACCATGCCGCAGTGAACCATGAATACCCCACTCAGACACAGTATACTGACTCAGAGCCGGCCAGTCCTTGTTGTACCCAATAATGCCGAGCGCCAGGCAGGGACCAACAAGTACCATATTTTAACGTCTTTTGGTATGACGCGGTCAGGGATCGAACCCGCGACCTTCCGCTCTCCGGTCCGACGCTCTAACCACTACACCACGGAGGCGGTATGTTCCTGTGTGAAAGAAACTGAATGTACAAATCAAATTCAGGTATTATGATGCACATTTTATTTTACACAACAGACCTGTCAAATGTGACTTTTGATGGGCATACTGTCTCACAAAATTGAATACAGTTCTGCCACAAGTGACATGAAAGTTCTCAAGGGTAACAGGAAAGTCGTTTTACAAAACAAATTACCTTCTTATGTTTTAGCATCACAGGGATGAACAGTTCAGTCTGATCAGTGTGGTTTCTTTACCAGTCTTTTATATACAGTAAATTAGGCTTTGCAGAGATGAACCAAGGATGGCAAAGGCACAGCATTCTCTTCCCACAGAGGTTACTCCTGTCATATTTTCCTACGTAACCTCTGTTCTAATACGGACATATTTCTCCGGTTCTCGTAAAATCCCCTAGCGGCAAAAGATCGCAACACGAATTATCTCCCTTCTTTCTATCCAATCAGAACACCTGTTACATCGACTTAGATTCAACTTGACTAACACAAGCAAATGTGGGGCCACAAATATCCCCCATCTGCCGGGGACTTGTGTTGATGTTACACACAAGACGTTTACTGGCTAGCTTGTCCGTTGTCAACGAGGGCGATGGAGACGCCACTGATCCGCCATAACATAACTGAGTTCTGTCTAGAAGAAACGTTTGCGCATCGCGCAGGGGAAGAAGTTTAGTTTTCTCGAAGCATACGGAAATTACCGAGGCCTTGCGAATGATCACTTTTGAAACAACGTCGCTGATTGCACAACTATATCTGATTGTCTCCAATCACGAGTCTTGAACGCTCACACCGTGAAAGGGACGTATTAGAACAGAGGTTACGTAGGAAAATATGACAGGAGTAACCTCTGTGGGAAGAGAATGAAGGCACAGATGAAAGAGGTAATTTTCTTTAAGCCTTGATGTACATGCACTGAAGCACAAATAATATCAAGATTATAATGTTTGCATGAACGGACATTGGCTTTCCTATATGTAGAGAACAAATGTAGATAAACTGTTCTGGCATTACCATAATTAGACTGATAAATGACAGATGACAGGAATGACCTGAATACACAACCCTGTTAAAGTAATAGGTGCTGAAATTAATGCGGAGTTGAACAGAATTCTGGTATGACGGCATGTAATGTGAGAGTAAATGCCCTGAACCCAGGGCATTACCACTTTGCATAATGTCATTAAAGTGGTCTTGGTTCATGATCACAACTGGCTGAAGTCTGTTAAAATAATGGTGGCATTTCAGCAAATCCTGGCAAAAAGAAGGGATGCAAATCTGCACAGCAATCTGCAAGACCTCAGATGTCATGGACAGCATGACATATTGTTCAATGGTGACATGTGGACACTGTAGCATGAGCTTGTATGTGCTTCAGTTATTCTCTGTTACTCGTACTGGAACAGAATACGAGTGCTACTTCATTCCATTAACACATCTTGTCCATGCTAGTCCTGCCTGTTACATGGCCCATCAGACAAGTGGATGGTGAGCACGCCTGAAACAATCTTCATAGATGCTTCATTAACTAGCCTTCACAGTTCTTGGGTTTACATCAGCATATAGTGACAGGAAAATCATTCCTGTAGTAATGGACATAGAATCAGTCTGTTTTCTTGTATGCTACCATGGCATCAACTTTATGTATAGATGTAGAAAAAGACCTTAGTCGGACTTCCTCGGAATTCACCACAAAATGAGGCCCTGATTCTCCCCATGCTTCTGGCACATCCATGTCTTTGTCTGTGTACACCAGGATATCAAACACACCTGCAGGCACAAGCAATGGGTTCATTACTACATCAAGGTCAAGAACAAGGAATGGAGTCAAATATGCAAGGACTGGCAATTAGCCTGAGCCTAATATCTCTTCAATAACATTACCTTCATATTCTGTAAGAAAATACCACCTGCACACAAGAATGTTACATTTTCTGCAAATCAATATGAATACAGTTACAAATGTTACAAATATGTATGTAAGTTGGTAATATTGTTCAAAGACCCCTGAAGACTACATGATGAAGGAGATTACAAGTAGGTATCATTTACAAGGCAATATACAAGTACTGTGAATAAGAAATTGAAAAGGAATGGTTATGCAACCTTTTACTATGCAGTGAAATGTGCATCACAAAATCTGCTTCAAAACCTCTGTTAGTGCATGTTTTATACATGCAAATCAAACCTGAATTGCACCATCGAAAGAGAGCAGGAGGTAAGTCAACTTACAAGCACTTTCTAGAAGCGGGAGGAATGTAACCGACGCTGTTATTTGCCTGATAACAGAGCGAATTTCTTCTTTGATTGCTTTGTCTGATTTATCCTTTTTACTGTAAAACAAGCACATGAATGTACACAGTTTGGGATGTTCTTAATATTATTGTAAATATAACACTAAAATCATAAACTAAAACAAGAGTCATCAAGAGATGATGGTCCAGAGATGATGAATCCCCCCAGTCTTGACAAATTTGATACTGGAGGTAATCATCAATGTCCAAGAGTATATAGATAGTGCCTTAGAGTAAATGTGCTGACAACCCTTTTACAATAGTTGATGACTAAAGTGATTAAATTGATTAGCATATATGAAATTTCAAATTTTACTTATTTTCTGAAAATAAAATCTTCTACATAGTGATGTCACAATCAAACAAGTGTACAGCCCTAAACCTGCACAGCATGGGGTCAGGGAGTGGGGAGGGGGCATTTTCACAGCCTGCCTGAAATATGAAACCCTGAATGGAACTTTTAGCCAACTCACAGGCTTGTTTCTATGGAAACGCACCTCCTCTGACCACCTGACTGATACAGGGGGAAATTCAAATCTGGATTTGAAAAAGAGAAATATATTTTCATAACGTATGTTTTATAGGCTGTCTGCATACATACATTTTACCAGTGAGTCTTTATAACATACTTCTTTACACAATAGCTTAATTTCATCATGACCCAGTAAGTCAATTTTGTGACATTTCACGGAATGTACTTGAATACTGCATTGCTTTACATCCAAAGACAGCTTTGACAAGGCAAGGAGGACACACCCCATCTGTCTGTAGGTTTGAACCCCAGCCTTTAACATCCATCCTCGATAATCTCCAGGGTATACGTTACGATCACTCTCCACTATACCCTGGATACATCTACGGCTTGACCCGATGATGGCCCGATGACTCCTCATTCATAGTAGCATCAATTAACTAAATTTCTGTCAAATAACAGCTTAGGTAGCGTTATTTTGAAGAACAGCTGGTAGTTTTGGAAAACACATCTCCGTCAGTTAAGTCAAACTAGATGTCATAGTAACAGGAAAAATAAAAAAAAATTATATAAAAGCCTTAATAACAAAATGCACCAGTTGACAACCTGTTCTCTGAGTGCACAAAGTTTCGTGGATGAATTTCTGATTAGGCCCCAAAAAATAAATGTTATGGTTCCGATTTCCTACATTTCAGAACTAGGGTAGGTAGGTAGTTTTTTTTGGGTTTTTTTGCAAAATATTTTTACATTACTCATGTGTCAGAAAATAAATTTAATTTATGATGTGGTGAGTAAAATTGTTAGGCTCGGCGGGAATATTTAGGGTCGGTCGGGAAATCGGAACCACAAGCTTTTTTTTTTAGGCCTTATGTTAGAGATATCGTCTGGACAAGAAATTATTACGAATGATTACAAACTGATTACTATATCCCACCATATTGTGGTGGAGTGTGGTCCTGTGCATATAGCTCAGGTCACTAATCAGTTGGAAGTTAACCCCCTGGATGCTGAGTTTTTCAAGCGCACATTTTCATAAGGTTTGAAAAGTGAACCTTATGCAATAATTGCGCTCACATGGTCCTGGATCTGCGTATTGCTATAAAATTACACACGCACGCACACACACACACACACACACACACACACGAAATGGGTTTGTGTGCTTATGTATAACGTTATACACTCAATCTTAAAAATGACTCGGAAATGGATTTTTCTCTATGACGTCAAAAAACGACAGAGAGGTCATACATGTATAAAGATAAGGGGGCATAACTCTACTATGCTTAACAATAGGTCATTTTAACTCAGATCATTTGGAGAGAATATGCTGTGGACACGGACGCTACATTTTTGCTATGTTTTGTTCATGGTGAACTAAACTATTCCAATCCAAAGATCCCCAAAGTGACCAGGCATGTTTTAATAGTATCACAATATATAAAAAAGAATATAACATCTTATTACATGAGAAAGCATGTAATAGCGTTTTTTATTACCCACGTGGTCAACGCATGGGTAGTTGCATACAAATCTTGTACGTCACACAAGTGTCGTATCTCGTTGACCTGAGATTCTAACGATTTGATTAGATAACCGATGACCTCTCAATTAGGTCACATTCTGACGTAACTATTTTTTCATTCATAACAAACACGTGAATTCATTCATTCTACAACTTAAATGCATTGTGGGAATGCAAACATCGCGAACGTTGCCGTGTCGCTGTTTAATTGTGAGTCGAACTGAGACATTATATCCGTCGAAAAACATAAATGCAATGTTTCCACCAGTGATGTTAGCTGAATGAAGCAACTGGAAACCAAGAAATGAGGTGCAACGGAGTAGTTTACTGTAGGAGGCTGTAATGAGGCGCTGACAACTGACATGCATCGTGGCGTCGGTTACCAAGGCAGTGGCGCATTACAGTGTGTGCGCGCCATGCAAATATTGTACTGCAGTACAAAAATTCTTCCGCAACCTCTTTATGAAACCGGTTTCGGTTTGAAACCAAAATATTAACAAAAATACGCCTATTTTGTCAATTTAATGCATGTAAGACGTGGGTAATAAATAAAATACCACACTTCGGTCTCATTACATCACGAATTATACGAAACTCGTGACCTTCGTATGCTATCTGACCGAGCTGTCGCTCGGTCAGATACCATAGGAAGGACACTCGTTTAGTATAATTGTATGTAATGAGACCTCGTGTAGTATTCTCTATGGATGACTGACTGCCTGAGTTTTGGTTTTACGCCGCTTTTAGCAATATTCCAGCAACATCACGGCGGGGGACACCAGGAATGGGCTTCACACATTGTACCCATGTGGGGATTCGAACCCGGGTCTTCGGCTAACGAGCCAACGCTTTAACCACTAGGCTACCCCACCGCCCCTCTCTATGGATGACCCTATCCAATATGTAAATTAGTTCTTAGATTCAGATATTTTCCGGTAGATGTATTTGGACTAAGTTTGCACCATTATTAGCAGAGTACAAGCCATATCTTCAAATGTAATGAAATTACTGAAAAAGTACATTTTAGTTGACATCATGGCTTGTTTTGTGTATTTTGCAACGTCGGAATAAGATGACATTAATGTGCTGTTTAGTAAATATCTCACCTAATTACCATTCATTGCATAAAAGGTCTCGGTCAGAATTATGCCCTTTCAACAAAACATAAAATGACAGATTGAACCTTCCTTTTATATAGTGTCTGGAATAGATGGACAATTGGTTGGTTTGACCAGGTATGACTAGTGTGTTAGGAACCTTAAGCTCCTGGAGTCTTCAAGATAAATTCAATCCTGACTTGGAATGAGCTGATTGTGCTTATGAAATGTAACAGACAAATCCAACCTTCCAAGTGAGGATATTTACCATGTATACCTTGATTGTCCAACCATCAAAATGTTTTATAACTCAAGTCCTTGGTAAAACGTATGAAATGTCAAACTAAATATTCTATTTTGTTGCAGTGGTAACCACTTACTTAACCACATGATACTATTGGCAAAGCGCCACATTTTCGTAATGAATATAAAAGGACACAAACCTAGCTTCACCATCTACAGAACATTATCAAAGGACGTCTATGAGATTGAGAAATTTATCAAGAAGAAAAACGATAATATGAAACATGTTTACAGAAAATGGAATGTCCTAGATGCAGTCCTGTAATTTATATTTTAGTCTTTCAAATCTGTAATATTAGCTAGCATTTCAGTTGTTTAATCTATATTCCCAGTACCATATACTATACATTGTCTGCTTTTTATTATGCAACCTGTACCATTTTACTCTACCCACATATCTTGTTCAACTGTAACCAAGTAAAGTAAATAAAAATAATTTTTAAAAAAAAAGAAGGTTATGGTGAGTTGGTTCTTTTGCCAACATATGACTCATAGCTTGGCAAAGTGAAATATTCTTTCTACAATGTTTGCCAACTACGAGTTGTATGAAGGCAGTGTAACAACATTGTTCAATACCCGTTGCCAGATACAAATCATGTGATTATTACATAAGCATAAATTCTACTTCTCCCTTTGTTACTTCCAAACATGGCACGTAAATGTATGTCTGCTGATGAGGTAGCTGCCAATTTGATGGATAGTGATGCTGAAAGTGACAGTATTGAAGTGGAACTTAGTTCTGACTCTCATGTCAGATGATTCAATTAGAGATGATTTTGTCCCTCTTGCTGAATTATGACAGACACCACGTGGTCGTCATGAATTTCGTGGCGCAAGGACCAGGATACCACGAGGTCATGGAAATACAAGGAGAAGGGTTGCCCAAATCAAGCACAAATTGGAGGAAGAAATAAGCAGGTACCAGTTCATTTGATCAGGAATTGATCAGGCTCATGGTCTCAGAAACCAACAGACAGGCCAACTCAGAAATAAACAAAGACCATTGCGAAAGGAGTCGAGGCTCAAGGACTGGAAGACCACTAATGCCACAGAAATGAAACAGTTCATTGCCTTGAAGCTTCATATGGGTCACTACAGCCTGCCTACCATAGAACACTATTGGAGTACCAATGTTATGTACAGATCACCTTTCTTCTCTGGTATCATGAGTCGAAATCGATTCCAATTACTTCTGCGTTTCTGGCACTTTGCTGACAACCACACTGATAACAATGATCGCATGTACAAACTACACTCTGTTGTCGATCATTTCAATGATGTAATGCACAACAGTATTACCCTGGAAAGGACCTCTCCATCGATGAGTCCATGGTACTATGGCGAGGCATACTGCTATTCCGCCAGTATATCAAGAACAAACGTCACAAGTATGGCATCAAACTGTTGAAAGTCCGAATATACAGTGGAGTTGGTCTGACTGATGATCTTGGCCTGGGTCAGTCTGCTGCTATTGTTCTTAATCTGATGGAGGGCTATCTTGACAAGGGACATGTCTTGTATGCAGACAACAACTACAATTCTGTCAGTCTTGTGAAACAGATGACTGATAGTTCAACCTACATTTGTGGGACGCTTCGTCACGACCGAAAAGAAAATCCCAAGGATGTTGTCAAGCACAAACTGATGTAGGGGGAACATGTATGGTTGTCTGTAAATCTGTGGTTGTCTGTAAATGGAAGGATAAACGTGACGTCCTCATGATCAGCAGCATGCACCGCGTCGAGATGTTTGATGTCACAAATAGGAATAAGAAAGTGTCAAGGAAATCTAACACAGTTCGGGACTACAACCAAGGCATGTCTGGAATAGACAGGTCAGATCAAATGCTGTCCTATTATTCAGCTCTACGGAAGACGATCGGATGGTACAAGAAGATCGCCTTCATGTCCTCGAGATGTCACTTGTAATGCCTACATCATGTACAAAGCAAACCGCATGGAGCCAATGAAGTTCCTGCGATTCCCGAGAACTAGTGACGATTGGTCTTCTTGGTGAAGCCTTTGAACGGGTTCATGGCCGCACTCCAAGAGTCGGTGAGGTTCAGGAATTCCATCACCTCACTTCCCTGCCACCCACAGAGAATAAGCAGAGACCAACCAAACCTTGTCGCACAAAGGCTGGTCTGAGACGTGAGACACACTACATTTGTGAAGTCTGTCCAGAGAAACCAGCCCTGTGTGTGGATAATTGCTTCAAGAAATACCATGTCCCAGAGTAAACTCCTGAAAATGATTCCCATCTCTCAGGGTGATGTCTGTATAATTGGTTGTTAAACAGTTCCTTAACCAGAGTATAGAGTTTTCGTAATTCTTTGTTTCCGCCAGGAGACTGCTTGTGGCTCTATTGTCAACATGTGAAATTTGTTTTAAAATACCACTGATGTAGCTACAAGATAAGTCATAGTGGCAAATTCTATTACATTCAAATTTGAAGACATGGGGTACAACAGTCCATGAGATATCGCGTTAACAAGAGTTCAAAGTGTTCAAAGTGTCGTGGTGACATTGAAAATAAGGTCAAGATCACCCCAATCGACTGGTGTCTGTGTAATCCCCTAATGTAGGCTGTCACCAAATTTGAACATATTGGATACAACAGTGCATGATATCACTTTTACAAGAGTTTGGAAAGTGTTCAAAAGTGTCGTGGTGACCTTGAAGATAAGGTCAAGGTCACCGGAATCGACTGGTGTCTGCGTAATCCCCCAATGTAGGCTGTCACCACATTTGAAGGCACTGGGAACAACAGTCCATGAGATGTTGCATTATAACAAGAGTTTGAAAAGTGGTCAAAGTGTCATGGTGACCTTGAAAATAAGGTCAAGGTCACCCATATCCACTGGTGTCTGTGTAATCCCCCAATGTAGACTGTCACCAAATTTGAAGACATTGGATACAACAGTGCATGAGATATCACTCTAACAAGAGTTTGAAAAGTGTTCAAAAGTGTCGTGGTGACCTTGAAAATAAGGTCAAGGTCACCCATATCCACTGGTGTCTGTGTAATCCCCCAATGTAGACTGTCACCAAATTTGAAGACATTGGGTACAACAGTTCATGAGATATCGTGTTAACAAGAATCTGGATGTACGGACGGACGTTCATATGTACGGACAGAAGCCGCTGAATACAGTCACCCGTTCCGGGGCACAAAAATTGCAACAAAACCAAAATTGCAACAAAACCAAATTTTGCACCATCACATGAAATCGACAAACCAACTCAGATGATTTGTCTCATAATTTTGGACACCCAAATAATTATTTTTTCACTTTTCGCTATTTTTTACGAGGGGGGACCACTTGCTAGTAGAACAGCCAGGTGTGTGAGTTGCATGTGTGAACTTGAAATATATTATTATATTGTCATGAAGGGGATAAAAATGAAGTGTTATCATTACAATTTGATCTACCATTAACATGATTAATGGTCCAAGGAGCAGAGTACTGTGAGTGAGTGAGTATGGTTTTCTGTCACTTTTAGCAATATTCCAGGAATATCACAGCGGGGTACACCGGAAATGGGCTTCACACATTTACCCATGTGGGGAATCGAACCCAGGCTTTCTGTGTTACAAGCCAATGCTTTAACCACTGGGCTACAAATGCCCCCCACCCAAAGAGCAGAGAGGTATGTATCAATTACAGCACGCTGAATCCAAATATAAACAACCAGGTGTCACACAGGATTTATATCCTACTGATCTTTACTAAGAAACTTACAGCAAACTGCACATGACACCAAGTGAATGCCCCCTATTCTGCCAGGATCCTTGAAATACATTACACAAAACATGAACAAATACTCACGTGTCAGCAGTCACTGTCTTATCACACTCAACATCAAACTGCCATCTCTCCAGGACCTCATTTGTGTAGACACTCTTGATGACAAGAACTAGCTTCTGCACTGTCATACCAAGCAGCCAGTCTTCAACAAAACACACACAACATGGTTCAAATGTTTGCCATTGTGATATTCTACTGTCACACAACATGACCAAATCAACACTTGTGGGTATTATCATTAAGGGTGACTATTGAGGGGGAAACAACTATTGCGATAGCAATAGTCAATTGCAACATACTTTTGCAACCAACTATAGCAATGCTATTGCACTAGGGATGTCACGATACATAAGTTTCATGAATCAATACGTATCACGATGCCCATGTCATGATTCGATATGTATCACGATACCTATTTGCGCGGATTTATGTTTTTTTATTGTCCATGAAAAGATCAAGAGTTTTGATTCTCAGAGATTAAAAAGTTCTAATTTCCCATCTTTGTGCATGAATAATAATCATTTATAACTCTCATAACATAAAAAATCATGATACAATTGCAAAATGTAAATGATACATAAACATATTTAAACTGATACTTTCAAAACTAAATTCCAATACAGTTTTGAATGTATCAATAATTGTATCGCCTCAGAAAAAGTAGTGATGCATCGATTTATCGTGGCATAAGCAAAAGACTGCTTGTGACTTTTTAAGCTACAAGCTAAATGAAATTTCAATAAGCAAAAACATACAATAATTGCTTATTCCTCACCACTTTCCCATTTCACACTTCCTTTTTAAGTAGTTTGTTATCATATTATTAGGGCTCCTTACATCAAGGCAGGAGACCTATTGTAAGCGTTCGGATTATTATCATTATTTATTATTCCGCCGATTTTTGTACCAAACATACCTCCTAAACCAATCCTCTGAATGACTTACAAAAAATCACACAGATGTCAACCGAGGTGAAGATATTCCCCTTAAAAATCTCTAGGCCCAATAGTAAAGGGGAGATAATTCAAAATAATTCCACAATTTCAAAGTTTGAGAACAAATATCTCAAGAACTAATTATTCAAACACTTCCAAATCCCTTGTACAGATGCACATTCCCAACGATTTTGCCTGGATGGGTCAAGTCGCTAAATTGTACCGTTTGGCAGTTATTTTTGTTTTCAGTTTTTGGCCATGTTTTTCAGCAGTTTTCTGAGTAGTTTGCTCCCAAAATGTGCAAATTCTGCACAAAAAGTGCCAGTATGATAGATGAAGTCTTGGTGATTCCAGAACACTAATTGTTTTGACCGTAGCTACATGACCCCTGCGACCCCGGCTGTATTTGGAAGATCCACTCGCCTGTCAAAAATGCGTTCTGGCTCCATTTTGGACAATGATTTCTAGCCCTGAAATACAATTCAAACATCCGTAACTCTCAAACCAACTGTCCGATTTCGACCAAACTGTACCTGTACAAGTGGGCTGTTAGTGTCGATTATAACTACTGCTTGCAGTAATGTATCTCCAAAGACTAGCAGTGAAATGATTCATATTAACTAAACTATTACAACTTTCACCAAATATGTGACAGACACAATTGGCTTGTTAGAACTAAAGCCAAGGAGCCCTCATCGTTGCTTGCAACTATATTTTTGTAACAATATTCGATCATAAATGCCAAATTTGACAAATGCACGGGGTTGCTAAGGTCCGCCATCATTGAATCGAAAAAATATGCATGTGATTGGCAATAAGTTTGGTATAAGTTTAATGCCATTATGAATTTTTAAACGCATTTAGCGTCCGTTAATTTCGACCCTTGTACCATCAAGAATGACATTACAAACCTAAGGAGAGACATCATGGTATTCTGGAGTGCAATCAGGTTTTCTGGCATGATGTCATAGCATCCCGGTGTGACATCATAGCAGGTCAGTGTCATGGCATCAGAGGTTATAATGTACTAAATGTATACAAAGTATTGACCATGTTGACCCTCCCCTATAAGATACCGGTATATTGTTCGATAACCATCCATATTTTCTTCTACATATTTTTCATGATCATCAAAAAACAAACCAAATGTAAAAGCATCTTATATTTTATATGAGTGTTATCTTTTAAGACCCATCCCTAGAGACCGCCATGTTTTTCTGTGACCTACAGATTGTTATAATAAATGTTTGAGGGAATTCTCACTGTTAACATAGTTAATGACAACTGTCAAACGCTATTTGCTGACTAAAGGTGTACTCCAACCACTTTGATTTAGTCTCCTATGAGGAGAGGAAAGATGCCACTGGGCAAGAGTCAAGTAGCCTACTGACATTCATAACATCACAATATCTATCATCTTACAGCAAAATATATGACAACAGCTCTATTTCTGTACCTCTAATTTGACCAATAACTTCAGTGAGGTATTTCTTAAGATCATCATCAGTTGTCACAAGCAAGGTCAAGCCATAGTTTTGAACTCGAGTGAAGGATTCTGGTGGGTAGATTCCTCGCTGATATAGTATACTGTTGATGCCATACTCTGAAAATAATAGAAATCACAATGATTACTTTTAAAACATGTTTTGGCTTTTATTTATCTTCACGTTCAGCAACATGCAGCCATAACACACAATACAGTGGTTGATATAATGAACAAACATGCAATATCAAAGGATAATGATATCTAAGTCTAACACTCGATCCATGACACCACCCAAAAATGAAACATACAACTTTATGGATGTATGTGCGAATCTACATTGAAACGTCGCTCTATGCAATAAATAAGAAGTTGTCATTCATAAAGTTGTATGTTTCATTTTTAACTCACCAACTTATAGAGTGCCCATCTAATAATCATGACACCACCGCCGAAGAGAAATGATGGATTGCTGGAGACTACTACTACCCCAGAATCTCCAAACTTCCAAGGTAAATCAGTGTAGATCAAATACATATCTAGAATCTTTATCTGTTAAAACTAATGCAAGGGTTAATTCTGCAAGGGTTTGTTCATAAAACATGAAAATTTGCCCCTCAATTAATACTGCCAAACATTCTGTCTGGGATATAAAGCAATTTCATATTATGATGCAGAAACATGAACTTACATCAGGTATATGGGTAGATAAAAAGTTCCTTTATACATGTCAACACATAACTGGGGTTTAGTCCTCTACCTGAAATGGTACTGTAATTGAGATGTGACAAATACTTACTGTACAGGCAGTACATGCAATACATGCTTTAGTGAAAGCCTGATAAATGCCATTCTATCCTAAGCAAAATAAAAATAACTTCATTCAAAACATTAACTTAGAAACTTATAACAAAATCATCTCTTTAGTATAGACCTTGGGCATGCATGGCTGGATCAAGTTTTTGGAAAATTCAAACAGTTTTATGAAACTATTCCTCTTACTCTTAAGAGCAGAAGATTGTTTTCAGCAGATGTCGATAAAAATAGCGAGGGTGTGCACATATGTGTGTGTAATTATCTAGTTAGTTTTGATTCAGAGGAATTGTTTTCACTGCTTCAAGCAAGATGAAATATTGACAGTAGTGCACTAACTGGGGACTCTTTTTGAGATCTCAATTAGCACCACACTGGGGATCACTCCCACACTGCCTGCTTGAAGTTTAACTTGGCTAAAGAGTTACTCTAACTTTGACATAGAAACAAGGTTGCAATCAGAAACAATTAGGGGTCATTTACTTAGTCATCTGCTTACCTATTTATTGTGATGGACATGTGCAGCATCAATGTGTGAAGCTTGTAACATCATAAAATTGTATGGAGTTGCTTTAAATTAGAATTTATTATTTCCTAACAAAATACAGCTAACCCAAATCCAACCCAACAGCTATTGATGTTTGATCTGAAATGAGATTAAGATAACTAACCCTTAACAATTGTGAAGTAAGTGAATCTGGGTATGGGTACTACAGATATGTATCCCATATACAGAAATATAACTGTCAGAATACAGAAATATACCTGGTACACTATGCAACAGACGAGACCATATTGCACAAACCAAAACCGAAGCCAGTTCATATGTTACAGTGCATCACTACTGTGTAGCAGGGAGGCTGTGCACAGAAACCTGCATCATCCGCATTGACGATTTGGCTTGAATGCACTATACCGGGCGCAGCGCTCGCTGCTCCCTCTACGATCCTTAGGGTTAGGGTTTAGGGTTAGGCACTCTTTACGATCCTCAGGTTTAGGGTTAGGCACCCTTTACTATCCTTAGGGTTAGGCACCCTTTACGATCCTTAGGGTTAGGCACCCTTTACGATCCTTAGGGTTAGGGGTTAGGGTTAGGGAAACCCAGTAGCGCTAATTATATCTGAAAAGAGGTATTTTTTTCCACTACTGAATAGTAAACCAGCTGACAATGTGGGTACAGTGGTATTGCAAAGTAGCTGAGTACAGTAAAATGCACTCGTGTCGCAACTACAAGATAATAACAATCATTGCAATACATCATTTCATGGAAACAGCAAACATAAAACATACACTGTTGCCATACATGATACAACCTCGAACCGCAGGGCTCTGTTCCTTAATGTAAATCGATTATCAATCATTTACAGTGTCTATTATCAATCGACACGTTTTACAGAGGCTCTTGTATGTTCTCTTTATTTGAAAATTCATTTACGCCAACTTACCAAAGAATTCTGTGACAATTTCAGTAGATCCCTTCAAAGTTATCGCATTCTGTGTTTTAGTACCCGCCATGTTTGAACTCCCGCTGCAACCACAGCGCCTCCTATTTACAAAGGGAGTTAACTCTAATAATTCGTCATCAAACCTCCTCAGAATGTCATAGAAGGCACCGAGATCGAACCCAAACCGAGATACTATTGGCGTTATTTACTGTTGGAACATCTTTGTAGTTTTATTTACACATATAGTTATTACCTATTAATGTCACCAATTTCCCAGAAAAGTTTTCTAAATAAACTCAAGAGCGGACCCAGGATTTTAAGGCTTATTTTCCCCTTATTTTTTAAGCCTTATTTATCAACACACACACACACACACACACACACACACACACACACACACACACACACACACACACACACACACACACAGAGAGAGAGAGAGAGAGAGAGAGAGAGACACACACACACACACACACACACACACATAGAGGCTTCATGACACATTGTTCTGCCCAAATCAACATAAATACTTTATGTGTTCTTTTTGTGTATTATTCATTGCTCTGTTACTACTTCGAGATATGCCATGATTATGGTGTTTGTGGTGCTTTTAGTAATTAGGTTTGTGGTTTCCAGGTACCAAATTGATATGTTATCTACTATTCGTCCCATGGTTTTACAGACACAACCTGTTAAAGATATGGGTCTGTAATTTGAAGAATCAGCAGGATTCCCACCAGGCTTTGGAATAGAGACAACAATGGCATTACGTCACGAAAGTGGGAAATTCCCTGAAGTCTATATTTGACCAAAATTTCTATAAGGATTTCTAAACATGATTCAGGCTAATGCTTCAAGAGCTGATAGTGTATATTATCAGCGCCTGTTGCTGTATCATGAGCTTGCTCATGGGCGGTATGGAGCTCATGTAACGAAAATAATTCGTTATAGTCTTCACCATTGCCTTGAGTTAAAATTTATTCTTTTCTTCTCCTGTTGCTTTTAATACCTTTGAAACTCATAATTTGATGATGAAGAATGTTTGGCAAGAGTATCGTCATTTGTTTTCTCTATGTCGGTTTTATAAGTTAATACATTTTTTATCACCATCCCTCAGATAGTAAACAGTAGGCTTGGAACCTTTGCCTTTGACATGGGTGTGCGTGAATTTATTTTGGAAACATAGTTCCTCCAAGACTGACGCTTATTCTGTTTAGATGCGCGTCGAGTCTTGGCATTTAAAATTGTAACTTAGTGGCTGAATCATTGAAAATACATAAATCATTTTCGGAAATGAATTCCTCAAGGATAGTATGGGCGCGGGCGCGGGTCGTGTCCGTTAGATCGCCCTATGATGAGCCATGGCTTAGGAAGTTTTGAAGATCTTTTTGTCGAATATTAGAAGAAGGGATATATAAGTCGCACAGTGTCAGTGCAATGTGAAGAGTCAGACGAACAGCAAACAGTTTGAAGATTTGTATTAAGTGAGACAGGGCTATAATAGACAAGGCGATACATTCCCTGTCCGATGACAGATGTTTTCATAAACATCCATATCGTCAAGGAATCCAAACTTGTTGTAAAGCTGGAATTGATTGTTTGAACAACCAGCTTGTCTATCGCTTTGGTTCATCCTGTTAATCTTTCGATTCATTTTCACGGATTGCTTCACATTAGTTTCACGTAGCATTTGTGGTGTCATCGATGAAACGGGGTTGTTTTTAGTATGGACTCAACGTTTTATTGATTGTGTTTCGTTGTTCCAGACAGTGTCCTTGAGCATATGGAATCTGATTAACTTTGAGATGACATTGAAGACGATGGCAGCACCTCAGCAGTCTGTGTTGCAGACTCCCCATGAGGTAATAACTCATCCATTGGGAGAAGTTCAGGGTGGGTGGACTTTGTCCATGTCACTTCTGTCTGACATTCAATAGAAGCCGTTACCAAAGATGGTCCTCTGGTTAAGAGTTTCCTAATATCATTGAAGCTAATGTTCTGGGTAAATTTGATTTTATTAATTTGCAGCTCTCTCTTCCACATTGGACACTCTTTTGATGAGGATGAATGCTGACCAGAACAGTTGACGCATTTCTTAAAGATCACATGCAACGTAAAACAAAACTTTGCAGATTCTGATACCTTTCGGTATGGACTTACAGATACAAATTGTCTAAAATGCAAATTCAACTTATAAAGTTGAAAAATAACGCGATGAAAAAAACCCCGCGAAATCGGATTTCAAACGATTCACTAAATTCACCCCAGCGCTTGGGGTGAAAAGCGGTTTCAACAGCTGGGCTGCGCTCATAGCACATACGCAGTGAAATAGGTTCGCGCAGCTTGGAAGCGGGATGTCCGGATTATAAGGTCGTGAGCAGGAGTAGTCTAATCAAAACAAATAGTAAATAATCTACCCATTACATAAAATAACCTTGTTAGGATCTAGATCTACTCAGCTATGTGTCAACCAGTGAGGCGTTCGACATCTCAAGACGGAAAACCTTCGCTGGTGGTGATTAATCGGTGAAGGCTTTGATGTGAGCTATTTTTCTAATGTTTTGTTGATATTTCACAGGCGCGAGCTTTTTATATGTTATTACAGTAGATTACCGATTTAACTGTTTATATAATTTCATTTGTCTATTTCACCACACGTTCTTCCTACCGAGTCACTTTCTCAGTTCGATACTTGTCATTATTTAGCCTTGGCAGAATTTCTAACTGTGGTATAGATATGTCGTTGTCATAGGCAAAACTCAATGTCTGTTTTATTGACACCTAGGTGTCTGCCTGCCTGTCTGCTAATGACAATATTCAATACACAACTTCGATCACTGACCACATGCAATTTGAACTTAACGCCTATCAGGTTATACACCATAAACAAAACGCATTGATTTATGGCCCGAGTTCGGTCTCTGTCACATTATGTAATTACACAGACAGGCAGGTGTGATACTTGTACGCATGACATGTTATGCTCGTTGATTGCAAAATGTTATACACAAAAAAATGAGCATGTATTTACAAACCCCAACATCTCTATATACACAAACAAAATGAGCCGTGAGGGTTATCTCCCAAAACTTAAGACAGACATATCTTAGACAAGTATAACTTAGACACTAATGAAGGGGATTAATTAGACAACACCCATGGCTGAAATGGAACAGTCCTAATTAGTGTTCCCTGCTGAGGAGACCTAGCTTGTATTCAGAAGTAAATGATATGAACTGTACAAGCGGAATTAAGTTTAAAGATGCATGCTATGTTTTCATTTGAATATCTGCTCACAAGATGAAAGGGGTCAACTGTTCTGATACCTATTGTGATGTGATGAACTCTTCTCCTGACTCACAGCGAATCGAAGACTTCAAGGACTACATGGTGAGCACCTGGATCAACTACGATGCGCGATTCCCTTCTTGCCCTATGGAACCGCTATGAGACTCACGGCCCAAGAACGAACAACAATTTGGAAGGATTTCTAAAGGAAAAAACCGCATCCTGCCGCACCCACATCCTAACATCAGAAAGAGAATCTATCGCGAAATTGACAACAGATTGGAAAGACTGAAGCAGCAACTTCAGCAAGCTGAGAAAAAACACATCCAGTTCCTTTATGCAGTTGGACATTTGCTTCATCTTGGTTAGGGAAATTTTGTATCAAATAAATGCTGTGCATAATCTGCCAAGGATGTCATGATAATGACTAGTAAGCATTACATGTTAAGTTCAAATTAAATGTTAAGTTATGTACAAATATTATATTTTAGGGAAATATTGTGGAAATGCAGTGGACATGATCAACATAGTACCATATTTAATATTTACTATTTATTTATTAACTTGTAATAAATATGCTGAATAAACATAACGTCTTGTCTAATTGATTCTACTGGAGTGATCCATTATAAGAAATAGGTATCAGCTTGAGGATTAGTTGTGCACTGAACCAGAAATGTTGTTGTTTTAAGCTGTCTAAGATATGGGGTCTAAGTGTTGGGAGGTTACTGCCGTGAGGGCATCGGCAAATGAACCAGCCACTACACTTGATTGCACACCCACCCGCTCTGACTGGGTTCGGTATCCCGGGTGCTTCGTTTCGAGGGAAGTGAACCCAAGTACGAAATATTGCACTTTTGATTTGCGATTGTATCGTCAATTCACACAAGTTCGATCGACATGAAACTTCGATCGCCCATTTTGAATGGTAATTGTCGCGATATAGTAGCGATAACTTACGGTATCTGCAGGCTTTGATCTCCTGGTGACACCACTTTCATTCGTTTGGAGCGGAAAATGTTTCGTGTCAAGTTACCAAACGTAAGTTATAGCTCATATTCAGCAAACAACTACTTTTTAACCCTAGATCAATAATGTAACTTTATCAGATCCAATAAAATGTAAACAGTATTTATTTCAAATTTTAGTAAATTGACAGCACACCTGTCTTCTGTTTGTTTGCGTTGCTGGTCTAATTGTGACATGTCCAGATATCCTTGTCAAGAAAACCTAATGCTTTTTGAGAATTTCCGTCAATTTGTACCTGATGATGTTCGAGCTATTGCCTCATTGATAAATACAACCTTGGCACAATGTACCCACCCTACATGTCAGCACAGAACACATTTACGTTTCTGCAAGCCAGTTCATGGTTTGATGCCCGTCACGATGAGCCTGAAGAATACGTCCCTGCATAATACTTCTATATAAGCTAAATATTTGTGACTTATCATCGTTTTTAGAAGAATTGAAACACAAAATGAACGTTTCATGGACATAAATACCATAAAATTACTTGGGACTGCTCTAGCTCTGAATTTGACACAAGACATCTTTTATACAAGTCATCCTGTTTACGCGACAAGCCAGCCAATCATTTGGTCGAACTTGTGTGACGTAGCTTTCTGGGTCACTTGTGTTGACAGTGAGAGGGTGGCCATGCCGCGATTGTGAAAAGCAGTAAAAATACCTGGATTTTGGAAATGTTTGACATAAATAAACAAGTTTAGAGGTAAGAGATTCGAAAATAAGATTATATGAATATAACTTTGAAAATTCAGCGACAGTTCTTAAGTGATCGAACTTAC